AATACTTATTTATCATTGCGGAAAATCATTTCATTCAGCATGTGAGTATAATGGACATTTATTAATTTCTAGAATCATTTAAAGAAAAAATATATTAAACCTTCTTAAAAAATTAATTAAAGAATAATTCAGTATAATATATATTGAGCAAAACAATAAAAAAACTACTCATGAAAAAATAAACTATCTAAAAGATCTATATAACATAACAAAAAAGAAAATAAAAAAATTCTTAGACTGGTATTACTTATTAATATTTTACTACTTACAACAAACACAAGTATATAATCTACTTTACTGAGCAAAACAATAAAAAAAGAATACTCAGGAAAAAATAAACTATCTAAAAAACTTATATAACATAAAATAAAGAAATTCTTAGACTAAACTTATTAATATTTTATCATTTACAACAAACACAAGTATATAACTTACTTGGAAACATACCAACTTTAAGCTGATTATACCAAATACCTGTAGCATATACCCTAATAAAAGAACAAATATTCAAATACCAAAATTATATAATGTGAAAATCTCATTGAATCTGAACCCAGAACAATTAAAATTAGACCGGTGATACGTACATAATAAATATGCGCTACAAGCAACAATTGAAGAAATAATACAAATGTACCAACAATACAATAATGATGTAAATATTTGGCGACTATCCAAATAAACCAATAAATTATCTGGACAATCTAAAGTATTACTGAGCCTCCATCAGATTACGACTATCGGCATAACGTGGAGAGTGTAAAAAAAAGGTTTAAAATATCCCTATAAAAAAAGTCGATCCGTGTTTTATATTCCGTGTTTTGTCCGTAAATGTTGCATATAACCTCAAATCATGGAGGCTTGTCTAGATTTTGTCGATCATGTTGCAGATTCACAGAGTTTTCACAAAACATATGAAGAAATAACGGAAATATTCGGAAAAAAATTTTTACAGGGTATATAACGATAAATAAAAAACAATAAAAATCGGATCATGTAAACAAACAGAGTAATACGAATAGTTGTAGTATACGGTTTACACGAATAGTTGTAGTATACGGTTTACAGAGTAGTGGTGATAATACGTTAAATTGACAAACACCTGTGTATGGTTGGTGAGGTCATAACTGCGTATACAAAATTTATGCAAAATGTGACGTTAAGTAAAACTAGACTTCGGGATTTTAAACTTAAAATATCGGGACCAATTCTGAATAATTTTAATAGGTCGAGTCTGTGATGCTATAAAAGCCTGAAGCCTTTAAATAACGAAATCAATGATCATAATAATGGTTTTTTTTTTTTTTAAAAAAAAAAACATATATATATAGATTACCCATCAATAAAATGATGCTGTCGGCCGTCTCAAAACCAATATGCATGGTGGACTGGTTCTGTATCAGTTTTTGGGTTGTCGAGTTTGAAAATATCACATGATCATATGGTCGAAATCAGCCAATCAAATTGCAGAATTGGTAATTATATGCACGAAAATTCATTAACGTTAGGGTTAGCGTTTACATTAGGGTTATATGGGGTCTTTCACATTAAAAGGGCCCATTTTGCAAATTTTTTGAAAAA